GAGAATGGAGGAGAGGGGATTGCAGCATAGCCATCCCCGTGGGGGATGATTCCTCACTTTCCCTCACTCTCTGTCTTTCCCATGAGCACATGTGCCCTGTAGGAAAAAAAAAAAAGAATTTTAAGAAAATAGGAACTTTGTCTTATTTATAGTGTTACCAGCACCTAGGACAGAGCTTGCTTGACCAATATAGTTTTTAAATATTTCTTCATGACTTAAATGAGTAAATTTAAGTTTTGTCTTCTTGATCAGGTAAATTTTGAAAGAGACACACACTTTTGCAATCAATTTCATAATTTTGTCATTATCAAATTCTCATTATATGAATGGACATTGTGTTTTTACTTATTGGGCCTGCAATATTTGTGCATATAAATTTATTGTTATTATAGGCTGCTTGCAACTCACTAGAGAGAGACAGAGAGAAAGCAAGAATGTATCCCTCCTATGATAAAATGGTAACACTGCAATCCCTTCTCTTCCATTTCTCCCTCCTTTCAGAATTTTGGGTACACACACACATGCACCTGGCATACTTTCCAAGCCAGTATATTTAGGTCTGGAATAACATGGTCAGCCTTGTGTGACGCAACCACCATAACCACCAGACCACGTGCTCGCCCAAAGTCATTATTAATATATGTTCTTTTTTGAGAGGTTTTTACCATAGGGTGCGTGCACTTGCCCGACAGACAGGGAGAGTCAGAGACAGAAAGTGAGAAATCACCCCCAGGGGGGATGGCCATGCTGCAATCCCTTCTCCTCCATTCGCCTCTCAGGATCTTGGGTACGCACACACACATGCCCAGTGTGAGTTTAAGCCACCGGGTCCCGGGACTCAAACAGTGGTCGACTACATGGGAGTTCAGCGACACAGCCATTATGCCAACTGCTGCTCCCTATGCCATGTTCTTTGTGTCTGTCCTTTATTTGACCAGGTTTAAACTTTGAATTCAGCTTTTCCATAGTTAGTTACTAATATTAACCTCAGTGCCTTTTTAAAAAGTTGTTACTGTTTTTAAGTGCTTATATGTCTTTTTACAGTACACTCTCTTCTTTACAATGTTTCAATTTACAGTATTTTGATTTTTATTGTATAATGATGTGGAAGCAATGCACATTTAGTAGAAATTGTACTTTAAGTACCCATACAATCATGTTTTCCATTTTAAGTACAGCATTAAATACATGAGATATCAAACAGTTTATGTAATAGACTTTGTGTTAGATGATTTTGCCTAACCGTGGACTAATATAAGTGTTCTGAGCATGCTTAAAGTAGGCTAGATAAATTGTGATGTTCAATATTTTAAGTGTATTAAATGCATATTTGGGTTTTTATATTTTCAACGTTTGATGGATTTATCAGGATATAACCCCATCATAAGTTGAGAAACATTTCTTTTTTATATAGTGGGTAAAAATGCAACACTGCAATAGATGTATTTTGTGTTAAAAACATAAAGCTTACTTATGCATTTTAATCTACTGTGAAATCTCTGTCTTTCAATGGGGATGACATTATATTTATGTTTAATGCAATTTCTTACATATTTTATTGTATACTTTTAGGTTTTTGTTATTTTTATTCTTTATTTTATTGGTTATTTCTTCTGTCCTCTTCCATATATTTAATAATTTTTTCAAGCCTTTGTTCAAGCTTTTTTTCTCCCTTTTTCATTTGTAGATATTTCTCAGCTCAAAGTTTACCTTCCTAAATTTATCTAATCAAACTAGCTCTTTTTATTATGATTTCAAAATAATTATTTGAATATTATATAATTAGTTCTTTTTTAAATAATTATTTTATTTAATATTATTTATTTATTTACTCAATATTTTAAAAATTTGACCAGAAAGGGACAGAGAAAGAGTGAGAGTGAGAGTGAGTGAGAAAAAGAGAGAAAGTGAGCCCGCAAGCTACCAGGTCAGGGTCTCAAACCGCAGTCAGTCATGTGGGAGTCTAGCACCCTCAACCACCATGCCACCTGCAGGCCCCATGTCCAATTAGTTCTTAATTGCTGTATCCATAATTATTTACCATGGATTTAATTTATTGCTGACAATTTTCTTTGATAATCTCCATTCTTGTGAATAGTCACCTGGTGAGAAAACGTTTTTGTAAATTTTCCACTTAACATATGCTTTTTTCTTTAATTTTTAAAGATAAGTTTACCTATAGTTAATCTCCTGCATCAGTTATTTTTCTTCAATCTTATATAAAGGCTTTATGTTTCTGCAATTTCATAGAGGCTTGTTGGAGAAGAATTTTAGTACATTTAAGCTTGCCTCTATATATGCCAGAGAATTAACCACCTTCTCAACTGGCTGTGATTCTTTATATTATAGAAGAAATACTGATACTTCTCCATTTAAAAGGACGTTTAAATCCCTTAAATGTGTTTTCCTGTCACTGAAACCTGGGACAGTTAGAGGGCTCATCTTCTTTATTTTTCTTCACTCATTGATTATAGCTCTCCTCTGCCACTGTCCTGTGTCTAGAGTTAGTTGTCTCATATATTGTACAGTTCTCTAGATGTTTAGGTAGGAGAGAAAACTCATCTCTCTTAGTCCGTTTTGACTAGAAATGGAAATTTTATTACATAGTTCTGAAAGGCTTTTATAAAAGCTCATAAAAAGATAAAGAGATTTCAGTATCTTAATGGTTTAGCTTTAGCTATGTGAGAAGACTCAATGTTAACCAGCTCATTTATACACAGTGAAAACATTTAATAATTTTTACTATTTTATACCTATTTTAGAGCAGATATTATGGTACATATTAAACGATTAATTTAGTTCATTTTTCCTCTACTATTATGAGGTAGATGCGTTTATTACTATCATTCACATATGAGAAAGCTAATACACAAGTATACTAAGTAGCTTTTTAAAATATACATGACCAGTAAGTCAAAAATTGTATTTAACAGACATAAGAATGTAAGATTCTCTGTTAAAAATGATGTATATGGGGACCAGCAGTTAGCGTAATGGCTATGTTGCTGGACTCCCATGTAGTCCACCACAGTTCAAGTCCTGGACCCAGTGGCTTAAACTCACACCGGGCACGTGTGCTTGCATGCCCAGGATCCCGAGAGAAAAATGGAGGAGAAGGGATTACGGCGTTATCATCCTTCCTGGGGGTGATTTCTAGCTTTCTGTCTCATTGTCTCTGTCTCTCTGGTGAGCGCACGCGCCCTATAGCAAAAACCTCTCAAAAGAAAAACATGATGGGGAACCGGCAGTTAGTGTAATGGCTATGTCGCTGGACTCCCACGTAGTCGACCGCAGTTCGTGTCCCGGACCCGGTGGCTTAAAACTCAAACGCCGGGCGCGTGTGCGTGCGTGCCCAAGATAGAATGGAGGAGAGAGTGTTGCGGCGTGACCATCCCCCCTGGGGGGGTGATTTCTCGCTTTCTGTCTCTATGTCTCTCTCTGTCTGTCTGGCGAGCGCACGCGCCCTACAGTGAAAATCTCTCAAAAAAAAAAAGAAAAAAAAAGAAAAACATGATGTGTATGGTAATATCTTTGATATGATTATCAAACACTACATGTATGCTTTGAAAAATTATGTTTTACACCATAAAGATGTACAACAATTAAGCATAAAGAAGAAATTATAAAATAAAATGGGGAAATTATATTTCAAAATCAGTTTTTCTCCATTCAGATGCTACATCATTTATTCATTTGTTTTATAAAAATTTACTTACTTTTTTCCTCTATGAGAAAACAGATAAAGAGAGAGACAGGTATTCTCCACAGGCTCCTTATGTTGCAATCCACCCTGAATCATAAGTTCAGGTTCCTAATGTACTCAGGGATGTCCTGGGTCCTCAACCTAGACTTTTCCCATGTGAATCTGGTTGCAGTTCTGCAATACCAGTTGACTTCCTTTTTTCTGTTATTGAAGTTTATTTACTTTATTCATGATAATGAGTGAGTGTGAGCGTGTATGAAGAGAGAATAAGTGTCGTTGACAGGGTCTCATCATGCCACAGTTTCCTTTTTCCCATCCCTCTAGCTTGTCAGGATTTGGGGCATCCAGCATGTTTTCAAGATCTCAGGGATTTTTTAAAAAAGAATTATTTTATTTCACTTCATTAATTATTATTATTATTATTAAATTTGACCAGAGAGAGAGGGAAAGCAAGAAAGCAAGACACCACGTCTGGGACTTGAACTGCAGTTGGCCATGTGGAAGTCCAGTGCCTCTAACCACCACACCACCTGCTCATTCTAAGCTCTCCAGAATTTAAGCCTACAGTCAGCCATATGGCTTCCAGCACTGCAGTCTAGTTGGCTACCCAATGTGCCACTAGGCTGGGCCAAATACTACATTTTTAAAACACGCTGTATAATACTTCCTTAAGAAAGATGTTGTAGTATAATATATTATGTTAACAGAAATGGAGAATGTATGTAGCTTATTGGTTAATTTAGCTTCACTTTCATAATTAATTTCTTATTAACATGAAGTTTCACAATACTATGACGTATTTTATTTGTTGACATATAACCAAATGGTTGGACATGTGCATGACGCTTCCCTAGGCAAGGATATATAGGAAAACGCTAAGTCTTGCAGTTTCTTTAATAGAGTTGAATTTTTTGTTTGTTGATAAGTAATTATCAGTTGTATTAATTGAAAGTGTTATTAGTCGAAGAAACTCATTTGCATGTTTTAGTTAAGCCCATTTAATATGTCATAGCATTTCACATGAAACTGTTAGAATTCATTGTCGAAGTAATTTTAGAATAGCCTTTCGACATTTAATGTTGTAGTCTGTGCAAAACCATCATTAGTAGTTGAATATATTAGGTATGCTAGATGAAATTTTAATTCCAGCATATATTTGATTCATAATATGATAATCCATGTGCATAGATAATTTAGAAATGCTGTATTTACACATCCCATGAGGCATCACTACAAGTTTTTGAGAAGAACATAGATTCAGTAAGTTTCAAACTTTCTTTTATTTTGATTTTTTCAGATTGCATTCTCACAACACAATACAATCATGGATCTTGTGCAGTTTTTTGTCACTTTCTTCAGGTAATTTGTTTTTTACTGACTTTGAAATTGTTAAGCCTATGTTCTGATATATGTCTTTTCAGTCTTTTAGGTAATTTATCAGTTTCTTAACTTTACCATATTACATGGAATGTCTTAAATAGTTTGATATGCTTAAATGTGTAACACAGAGGGGAGAGAACATATTTGAAATATACTTGTACAAGAATGTATTACTAATATACCACTTGATAGGTATTGAATTCAATGAAAAGAGAATAACTTTGTGTTATCCTGTTACATAAATAATTTAAGCCTTATTTAATTAATTAAATTAATAGTGAATGTATCACTTGGATTAGTTATAACTATTACAATTAAATCAGTTCAGCTAATTTTTTAGCTAATATACATGCTTAGGAATATGTTAAAGTTGGTGGTGAATGAGAAAAAGTCTGTATTTTATGTCTGGAAGAAGCTTATAATCTGCAAATACTATATATGACTTTGAGTAGAGCATCATTTCCCAGAACATTAGTCATGTGAACTGTTATTGATAGGCTTATAAAAAAGGACTCTGCAATTAAATGACTTTGGAAAATTGTTTAAGAATTTGTATACTAAGTTAAATAAAGCTCTTTTGATTAGTTATCAACTGACATTACTTTCATAGTTTTTACCATAGTAATATGTAATTCATCTTGCTAAATAATAGTAGAGTTTCTAGCATTCTCACAACATGAAAATACTCTTAAAGGAACATTTGTTTTCATTTTCATGTGCTGTAAATAAAGACAGACTGGGCTAGGGAGAGGAGAATGAGTTGAATTTCAGTGACAGAATATCTGTGTTATGGGGTCTTAGATCCTCTGGCTTGGAATAGATGTTTTTATTAACATTGTTACGGATGTGCACAGTTTATGCTGGTCTGCTGGGTACCTTTGTGCAAATTAAACGAATGCAACGTCTGGCAGACATAGCCCCACATTGTGGTACACAACTTTGAAAATGGAGTGGAGTATGAATTTTTACCTTCCCTTACCAACTTGGCTGGATTGATTTACACAATAAAGAACCTTCACAACTTAATCCTTGACACATTTGAAGTGTCAAGCACTTCTCTAAACATCAAGGAACTTGTTGACTGTCTTGTCCAGACACTTGAATTCCTAATACCTTCTCTACAAGGGTTTGAAAACATTTCCTGTTAATGGGTAGATAGTAAATATCTCAAGATTTGTGGATTAAATGGACCCTGTGGCAACTATGCAACTCTGCCACTATGGTGCTCAAGCAGCCAAAGCCAATATGGAAACAAATAGGAATGGCTGTGTTCCAATAAAACTTTATTATAAAAACATCTGGTGGGCTGAATTTTGCCTGTGGATGTAATTTACCTAACCCCTGGATCTAGATTATGCCTGAATGCTTTTAATGACAGGAAACTCACCATCTCCTGAGATAGCATTTTCTATCATCAGATAACTAATTGTTCTTTATAATTGAGCTGAAATCTGTCTCCCTATACTGTCTTTTCTAATCCACCCATATGGGCCTATATAGAACAAACCTGATCTTTCATCTCCATTTACAAGCCTTCAGATGTTTTACTCTTTCATTCAATTTACATATTCCTTGTAAATTTACATTTTTCCACTTCTCTTGCCAGAATCTTTGCCATTGGTTATATTTTTTTGAAAACATCTTGTTTGTCTTTGTCCATGTAAAAATGATCATTTCTACAGTTTAACAGTATAAATGTATTTGTCAATAATATGTGTAGGAAATACATTTAGTTTCTCCCCAAAAAATGACTTGAGACATCTTAAAGATGGTTAATGTTATATAACTTTCTACTTCAGAGTATAAATGGATGTTAAAGCTTTACTTTGTACTTCAGAGTATAAATGGATGTTAAGGCTTTTTAAAAAGTTACAATGTTTTGGACTAGCAGGTGGTGCAATTGTTCAGGGGTGGACTCTCACATGACTGACTATGGTTTGAGTCCTGCACTCAACAGTGGAAAATTATGCCAGCTGCCTGTGCATGTGTGCCCAAAATCCTGAGAGGATACTGGAGGAGAAGAGATTGTGGTATAGCCATCCTTCTGGGTGGAGTGACTTCTCACTTTGCCTTTCTATGTCTCTTTCTGGCATGCACCCTATGGTAAACAAAACAAAACTTTAAAAAGTTATGATGATTTTAGAAAACATTAGAAGTTATATCAGACCAACAGATGGCATAATAGTTTTGTTACTGGACTCCCACATAGACGATCATGGTTCGAGTCCCAGACACAGTGGCTTAAAAGTCATACTGAGAGCTTAAGCGTGCATGCTCAAAATCCCAAGGAGAATGGATGAGAAGGGATTGCAGCGTGGCCATCCCCCATGGGGGGTGATTTCTCTCTTTCTGTCTCTCTCTTTCTCCAGTGAACGCATGTACCCTATAGCAAAAGCCTTTCTATAAAAAAAGGTACTAGAAATTACAATCGAATAAGCATTATTTAATGCATTAAAATGCAACTATTTTTGTTGTTGAATAGTGTTGTTAGAAATACACTGAAAAGTTCAGTTATGTGTAAAAATTCATGAAGCTGAATATATATGTAAATTATTTAAATGTTTAGAGTTTTATTTTAAGCTTTTGAATTTGGGTACACATTTAAATTCAGTAGTTCTTTTATTCAGCAAAAGAAGCTAGTATTAATGTGTACCATGTCTTAGAGATGATCCTATTTATTAGGTTGTCATTATGGACAAAGTGAAATAAAATATTCTAATCATTGTGTGAGATAAAATATATTTGATAGCTTTTTTGTCATTTAAATTTCTTCAAGTAGTGAAATGTAAATTAGATAATTTTAAAGTCATCTCATTGTTAAGAAAAAACATGAACAGAGTATTTTGAAGTGTATTATTTATTTATTTTTGATAAGGCCACTGCTATATATTAAAAGAGAGTTTAAAACAGGTTAACATTTATGATGCTCTTCAATTTATTGCTGCTTGTTGCTACTTTTGCCCTGTCATTGGGGTAGCAGAGCTGAATGTATTGGTTTTTTTAGTTTAGCCATAGCTCTGTAGGAGCTAGTTCTCAAACTCTGTGCCAGTTTTACCTCTACATTGAGTATAATTCTGGTGGTAAACTTGATTAGGCCAGTACTAGGAGATCATTTATAGACACAGCCCAGCTGTAATCTTAGCTTTTGGTGCCATTTTAAGTAGGTCATCTAACCTTTCTAAATCTCAGTCCTTTCATATATAGACTTAAAGGGTTTTTCTTGTTAGAGTTTATGATGTAATATAGTAAATGATTAGAAAACTGAAAGGAATTATTTTTTAAACATTTTTTTTCCTGGCATGTAAAATGAAAAAAGAAGCATGTCTAAATCTGAAAAGTCTGAATTATTTATTTGCTTGCTTGCTTGTTTATTTTGCTAGAGGGTACATGTGCTCTTGGGGGCGATCAGAGTGTGAGCATGAGGAGAAAGCACCCTCCGTGGAGAATAGTCACACTGCAGATTCTTCTCCATTTCTCCATTCTTGCAGGAATTTGGGCACACACAGTGGCCAGTGCGTTTCTCCAGTGCCAGTCTGACATAGTAACTGTGCAGTCAGCCAAGTGGGACCCGACTGCCTTTACCACCAGCCCATATTTACTATTGTGACCAAATGGGGACAGTTTCAAAGTTGCTACTCAGCTGTTTTTTACTTTTTTTCTTTTTTTTTTGTTTGTTTGTTTGCTTTCCCACTATGATCTTATTAGACAGATGAGGCACACAGTGTAGGGGTTACTCCGAGTTCATTGTATAGCATATAGTGGTTCATTATGTACTCAAGGACTGAGGAAATTACCACTAGATGGATTCGTAGACACAGCTTACCCACTTGGAGGTAGAATTTAATTTTTTACCTTCAACCTCCAACCTCTGAACACTTCAAATTCTGATAAAAGGGCCATAGGGACATTTTGAGTCCATGGGTTTCTGTGTCACCTCTCACCTCATGTCCAATGACACTCAATCTGTTTATTCTGCTTGCATTGTGTATATACCCAAGACTATACCTGGGAATATACTCAAGTATGTTGTAGGTCCCTTCAGTGATCATTTTAAACACTTTTAAAGATGTTTTGGACTCTCTTGCTATAGATCCAATGTGTTCTGGAATTGAAGATTAACTCAATTCTGGGAACTGAATAGAGGATTTTAACTTTTTATTGAAGCAACCATTCTCAGCCTCCTGTTCTTCCATTCTTACTTAAAATTAAACCAGATGTTAAATAGTAACTACTGTTGGCTGCCCACCTATTTCCCCTCAGTATACTATTCTTTATTAATCATTCCCACAAATCTTTGTGGGCCAATGCCCTTGGCATCCCCTACAATTTTGTTGTTTAAATTAGGATAATTGTAGCTCTTAGATGCTGGTAAGTGAGCACTGACACCTGAACTCTATTACACTGGACTCCCCCCCCCCCCCCCATCATGTATGTCATGGCAATTAACAAACCCAACCTGTGATCACCTCTCCTAGTTTAAGCTCTGGTCTGCAAAAGAAACTAGCACTTAACTTCTTTATTTATTTATTTTGTTTTGCTACGGGGCACTTGCACTGGACAGAGAAAGAAAGACAGGGAAAGGAAGAAATCACTGCCTAGAGGGAGAGCCATAAGCCAATCACTTTTTTCTAGCCGTCTGTCAGGATTCTGGGCATGCAAGCACATGCACTTGACATGATTTTCAAGCTGTGGGGTTCAGGACTTGAACCGAGCAGTCGGTCATGTGGGGCCCAAGTGGCCCCCATTAGCTTGTTCTTTTTTTTTTTTTTTTTTTTTTTTTGTATGGTTTTTTTTTCTTTTTTTTTTTTTTTTTTTTATTGGGCACATGCGCTCACTAGAAAGACAGAGAGAGACAGAAAGTGAGAAATCACCCCCCAGGGGGGATGGCCACACCACAATTCCATCTCCTCTTAGGATCTTGGGCACGCACGCACGCACATGCGCCTGACATGAGTTTAAGCCACAGGGTCCAGGACTCG